CGGGGCGCCCGTGCCCGTTACTGCCTGGCACCAGCACCATGTGCTAGCAGAGCTCTGGAGCTAGTCCGATGGGTGCAAGGTTGTGTGTCTGCTCTAGTTTGCTTTTCTCTTATTGTGAGTCTTACATAAATGTGTTCACACACACACACATTAAGTATGTGGGCAGGACATCATGATCGTGGATCATTTTCCTGGGGGCCTGATATGCTCCTTGGTTTCTGGGTAAGGGTCTCCAGATGCAAGGAGAAGTGGGTGGCACAGAGAGACCCTCTGGGCGTGGTGGGCTCCAGAGTGGGCCCCCGCCAGCAGGTGTTTCCGGCTGGGAGGAGGTGGGGGCAGAGGGCAGGAGTGGGGAGTCAGGCAGGCGTTGCAGCCTGGAAGCTTGGAAAGCCATGAGGGCCTCAGCAGAGAAGGACACTTCCAAGGACCCTCTTGCCCAGGCCCTGCCGAAAACCCTGTCCACTGCCTGACGTGGTCGGGCCGCCCCAGCCCAGTTGTGCTCATGGTCACAGAGAAGGGAATCACTGGAGCTAGTAATTACTAAAGGCTCTGCGTGTGCTGGGCACTGTGTAGGCACCTTCTGTATACTTATTCATCCAGTTCTACTTTGAAGCCCTGGGACGTGGTGACTCTCATTCCTCTTTTCAGCTGAGGAAACTGAGGCACAGGGGAGTGGTGGAGCCAGGATTCGAGTCCAGCAGATGGCTGGGAACCCCTTCACTCAACTGCCTTGGGCCTCATTCCTGCATGCAGCAAGCCCTCAATAAGTGCTCCTTGGACTAGAGCCCAGCTTCTACAAGCCCACCTTTGGCATTTTCCTCTCTTGGAACCCCCGGTCAGGGCAGGAGGGAGGGCCGAGGCCCCCCCTTAAAGTGCCGTTCAAGGCAGGAGTGAAGAGGGAGGCCTCTCGTGGCTCGTGGGCGTCATCTGCGTCTGGAGCCCCATCCGTGAACTGGAGAGGGGGACTTCCTGAGGCAGCCAGCCCCCAGGCGCCTGTATACTCTGGTCCCCATAGTGCCAGCCCCAGCCTGGCCCCTACGGATGTTCCGTGGCACGGGAGGGAAGGTGTAGGACGCTGGGAGAGTCCACGACCATCAGAAGGTCCCACTCAAATCTGAGCTCAGTAGCTGCTCGAGGCCCGAGTGAGGGAAGGATGGTGGCCGGGCGGCCAGACCGCAGCATGGGTAGAGGACGGGAGGCTCGCTGAGCGAGGGTGGGTGACCCTGGCTGCTGCCCTCCTGCAGCTTCCCATAGTGGCGTCCTCCGTTGTGTCCCTCTACTTCCTGGAGCTGACCGATCTCTTCAAGCCGGCCAAGGTGGGTTTCCAGTGCTATGACCGCACGCTCTCCATGCCCTACGTGGAGACCAACGAGGAGCTCATCCCGCTGCTCATGCTGCTCAGCTTGGCCTTTGCGGCCCCTGCGGCCTCGGTGAGTCCTGGGTGCCGGGGGGCCTGGGCTGGCCTGTGGGCACCCCCCGTGGCCGGGAGCCTGGCTGAACGCCTCCCTGTCGGGCAGATCATGGTCGGCGAGGGCATGCTGTATTGTCTGCAGTCCCGGCTGTGGGGCCGCGGCGGGGGCCCAGGCGGGGCCGAGGGCAGCATCAACGCGGGGGGCTGCAGCTTTAACTCCTTCCTGCGGCGCACGGTGCGGTTTGTGGGTGAGTTCGCCAGAGGGCACCCCCCCACGCCCTCCGTGTGCACGCGCCCGGCTCCCCTCCCCAGCCCTGACCCCGCTGCCCCGCAGGCGTCCACGTGTTCGGCCTGTGCGCCACCGCCCTGGTGACCGACGTCATCCAGCTGGCCACCGGCTACCATGCGCCCTTCTTCCTGACGGTCTGCAAGCCCAACTACACGCTGCTGGGCACGTCGTGCGAGGCCAACCCCTACATCACCCAGGACATTTGCTCCGGCCACGACACCCATGCCATCCTGTCTGCGCGGTGAGCTGGCCCCCACCCAGCCGTGCAGGGCGGGGGTCGGAGGCCCCGAGGGGCGCGGAGCCCGCCCACTCACCTGCCACCTCTTACAGGAAGACCTTCCCGTCACAGCACGCCACGCTGTCCGCCTTCGCTGCGGTCTACGTGTCGGTGAGTCCTGGCCCACCCTGAGCCCGAGCCCAAGCCCGGCCGCCGGCGGGGAACCACGCTCTGACCCGCCCCGCCCTGCCCTGTCCCCAGATGTACTTCAACTCGGTCATCTCGGACACCACTAAGCTCCTCAAGCCCATCCTGGTGTTCGCCTTCGCCATCGCGGCGGGCGTCTGCGGCCTCACCCAGATCACACAGTACCGCAGCCACCCGGTGGATGTCTATGCGGGCTTCCTCATCGGGGCTGGCATCGCCGCCTACCTGGTGAGGGGTCGGGGGAGGCCGGCCCCGGGTGGGAGGTCCGAGGGCGGAGGCTGGCCCCCAGGGGGAGGTCTGAGGGTGGAGGCCAACCCCCCAGGGGGAGGTCCGAGGGCAGAGGCTGGCCCCCAGGGGGAGCTCCAAGGTTGAGGGAGGTCTGAGGGCGGAGGCCAGCCCCGAGGGGGAGGTCTGAGGGCAGAGGCCGGCCCCCAGGGGGAGGTCCGAGGGGGTAGGCCTGGCCCTACCCTGGGGGGACCCCGGTGAGTCTCCTCCCTTGGAATGCTGGAGTCAGAATCTCATGGGCTCAGACTTGCCAAATGGTTAGAGCCTGAGTGGCCTGACCAGAGCTTGCCCCATTGGGAAAAGAGTGGGACTCCGTCCTCTGATTCTGCACTGAGGGCCAGGCTTACCCCCTCGGACCGCCTTGGCAGGTCTGTTGCGTGGTGAGAACCCTGGTCTTCAGCCCTTGCCTCACCCCCAGGCCTGCCACGCTGTGGGCAACTTCCAGGCCCCGACTGCAGAGAAGCCGATGGCGCTGGCCCCTGCCAAGGATGCGCTTCGGGCTCTGACCCAGCGGGGCCACGACTCCGTGTACCAGCAGAACAAGTCCGTGAGCACTGACGAGCTGGGCCCGCCGGGGCGGCTGGAAGGTGTGCCCCGGCCCGTCGCCAGAGAGAAGACCTCACTGGGCAGCCTAAAGCGGGCCAGTGTGGACGTGGACTTGCTGGCCCCGCGCAGCCCCATGGGCAAGGAGAACATGGTCACTTTCAGCCACACGCTGCCCCGCGTCAGCACGCCCTCCCTGGACGACCCTGCCCGCCGCCACATGACCATCCACGTGCCCCTCGACGCCTCCCGCTCCAAGCAGCTCATCAGCGAGTGGAAGCAGAAGTCGCTGGAGGGCCGTGGCCTGGGGCTGCCCGACGAGGCCAGCCCCGGGCACCTGCGGGCACCTGCGGAGCCCATGGCGGAGGAGGAGGAAGAGGAGGAGGAGGAGGAGGAAGAGGAGGAGGAGGAAGAAGAGGAGGAGGGCGAGGAAGGGGGTCCGGCCCCACCTTCACTCTACCCCACCGTCCAGGCCCGGCCGGGGCTGGGGCCTCGGGTCATTCTCCCGCCGCGAGCCGGGCCCCAGCCGCTGGTGCACATCCCTGAGGAGGGGGCGCAGGCAGCCGCAGGCCTGTCTCCCAAAAGCAGTGCGGCCGTGCGGGCCAAGTGGCTCATGATGGCAGAGAAGAGCGGGGCGGCGGCGGCGGCGGCGGCCGCAGCCTCCGCACAACCCCGCATGGCCAACCCCCCGCGGCTGCTGCAGGTGATCGCCATGTCCAAGGCGCCGGGCGGGCCTGGCCCCAAGGTGGCGGAGACGGCCTCGTCCTCCAGCGCCAGCTCCGATTCCTCGCAGTACCGCTCGCCGTCGGACCGCGACTCGGCCAGCATTGTCACCATCGACGCGCACGCGCCCCACCATCCCGTGGTCCACCTGTCCGCGGGTAACGGGCCCTGGGAGTGGAAGACGGCCGGCGGCGCGGCCAAGGGGGTGGAGGGCGAGGGCGGCTACGAGCTGGGGGACCTGGCCCGCGGTTTCCGCGGGGGCCCCAAGCCGCCAGGTGTGTCCCCCGGCTCGTCCATCAGCGACGTGGACCAAGAGGAGCCGCGGTTCGGGGCCGTGGCCACGGTCAACCTGGCCACCGGCGAGGGGCTGCCCCCGCTGAGCGTGACTGATGGTGCGCTGGGGCCGGCCAGCCGCGAGTCCACGCTGAGGCGCAAAGCCAGCGGCCTGGTGCTGGGCGAGCGCGAGACCGCGGGCGAGGCCGAGGCCGAGGGCTACTACCGCAAAATGCAGGCAGCCCGGAGGTTCAAGGACTGATGGGGGCCTGGGAGGCCGCATGGGGGGTGCAGGTGGAGGCCATTGGGCGGGAGGGAGCGGGAGGGGGGGCACTTCACGATCAGACAATAAAAGGTTGATACTGGCTGGAGTCCTATCTATATGAGTCACTGGTTTGAGGGTGGAGTCACCGCCCAGCAGGGGTGCGACGGGCGGCGTCCCACACTCGGGGGGCCAGGCCCCACATTCCCGGCTCCCCTGTGCCCACCCGCCCCCGTCACAAGCAAGGGAGACAAAAAGGTAATTCACACGGAAGAGGAAACAGCAGTGGAGACAAAGAGGCGGAATAAAGAGGAGATCAGTGCAGGGTGCAGAGACATTTATTCCAAAGTCCAGCAGACCGGCCAGGGGCCTCTACAATGTGAGCAGAAGAAAGAGCCTACAGAAAAGGTAGGAGTTGTAAAATCGCTTTAATTCGGTTCTCTCTGCATTACAAGCCGTAGGGTGGGCAGTGGAATGTGCCGCGTCCCCGTCACAATACTGAGCCTGTAACTGCGGGTTACCAAAATATACATCTGTGTCACCTTTATAAAAAACCATGTTTGCTGCCCCTCGTTTTACAACAGGTATAAAAAAATTATAAATATTTACACCCTTGTTCCACCCCAACACGGAAACTCGAGGGTCCAGGCCCGAGGGAGGGGCTGGCCAGCACGGGGTCTGCTCACAGGGGAGCCCCTTGGACCCTGAGTGCAGGACGATGTGCGGAGACAGTTAAGACTCGGGGGCCGCTGTCCCACCTTCTGGGGCCCCAGCGTTAGAGGCAGACAAAAAAACAAAACTTTGGTCCAAAATCTGCAGGAGAGCGGAAACCCTGAAAGTTTTAAGAGCGGTCGTCCCCCCAGAGGGAGGACAGGTTAGGTGTGAGTAAGGCATCTGGAGGCGTCCTCGGGAAGGACCAGGCTCCCCTGCCGGCCCCCAGCCGGCCCGCCCTGGAAACTAGATCCTGCCCTGCGACTTCATTACAAGGAATAAAATAGAAAAGTACAGTATGCGAGGTCATACCACAGGGAGGAAATGGAGATTACACTCATACCATTTTTATCTCGCTATATAAAAAGTTACTTAAAACTATGTCTTTTGCATATAAATGAAAAAAGATTAGAATATTTGGTCAACTGGAAATATTGCTAGGCACAGGTGTCTGCAACTGCATCAAAGCGTAATACAGAGGTTACGGTGGACACAGAGCTCGGAGCTGAAGGACAGGGATGGTGCCCTTGGGGTCTTGCCCCGGGTCGGGGGTCCCTGGGGCTGGGGCGAATCACACACTTGATTAAACGGATTGGGGGTGCCAGCTGGACCCTGCAGCTCACAGCCTCCCGCTGCACCAGGCACATGATCCCATGCAGGAGGCCCCCCACCAGCCCCCCGGCCCCCCACCCATGCGTCTGCTACCGCGAGGGGGCCCTGCCAGAGCAGTGGGTGTTAAGGCACAAGAAAGCCGAGTCGAGGTTTGGAAGCGCCCACCCCACAGAGGCTGCAGAAGGCACGGGCTTGGGGGGCTGGGGAGGGAGTGGGGCACACTGTCCACTCGTCACCAAGAGCCTGAGGCCGGCACCCCATCTCCCCAGGGTGAGCAAGGTGAATTGGATTTAATTTTTTTAAAAACAGGTAAACTGATTTCTCTTTTAAAAAAATAAAATCTCTGGTCTTTTAAGGTCACTTCAGCTGCTTTTTAAAGTGGCTTTTCTCTGGAATGATGGAAGTTGTGGCCGGGCGCCGGCAGGCTGGTCCACGGTGGCCCTAGATGGTGGACTTGGAGAAGGAGACCCGCAGGTGGTGGTTCTCGCCCAGGTCGTGGTTGTGCAGGTCGATGAGCGCCTGGATGGCCTCCTCCACCGAACCCATCTGGATCAGCGCCATCTTGCGGTCCTTCCTGGGGGACGGGGGGGGGGCAGGGGAGTGAGGGTGGGCCTGGGGGTGGGGCCTGGGGGTTGGGCCTGGGGGCACAGGGCAGGGCACTCACTGGAAGAACTTGAACCCCTTGACGATCCCGCCGTTACTGGAGAAGAGGATCTTCAGGTCGTCCTCGGACACGGAGGGCCTGTGGGCAGAAGGAGAGAAGGGGGTTGAATGTTGCTGCTTCTCAGGGAGGGCCGGGGGGTGGGGGGCGTGCCGCACGTCACAGCCCTGCAGGCGCCAGGTCCTTCCTCTCCCTCAGCTGCCCCTTGACTCCAACAGGACCCCTCCCCTCCCTGAGGCAGCCCAGCACGTACGGGATGTTGGAGAGGTGCAGAGTGGCCGAGGGCGGGAAGATGTTCTGAAAGTTCTTGGAGCCGGGTTTCTTGAAGCGGTGCAGGGGGGAGTTGCCATAGTCCTTGGTGAGACCCTGGTCCTCCTGGCCCTCGCGGGGCAGCTGCACGTTCTGGTGCTTAGACAGCGTGATGCGCACCGGCTTCCCGTGCAGCTTGTGCCCGTTGAGGTGGCTCATGGCTGGGGAGGCAGGACGCGTGTGACCCAAGGCGCCACAGGCACCAGCCCCAGGGGCCCCCGCCCGCCCCACAGGCCTTACCCAGCTGCGCCTGGCTCCCGTCTGCCATCTGCACCAGGGCGTTCTCCTTCTTATTGAACAAGATCTTCACCCGCTGCACATCGCCGTACACGCCTTCAAGAGCGCAGGGACAGGGGCACTGAGCCGCCTGGGGCCCTGCTGCCGCCTCCCCCGCCAGCCCCCACGCCCCGCACACCCCGCACAGGGCTGGCTCTTCCCGAAGGTTTGCTTATTCTGCCTCTGGGCACCTGCATCTAGTCACAGGGAATGTTACCAGGAAGACTACCTTCAGCAGAGAAGTCATAAAATCCAGGAAAGGTCAATTGCCAAGAACCATCACTTTAGCATGCTACCAACACGTTTTAACTCTTCGAAAAGCATGCAGGGCAATAAACCATGCGTCTACGGAATCAGAATAAATACGCAAACCGAAGGCAAGCCACGTAACGAGGCAGAATGCCCAACTGCAAACTCATAGTACATCTTAGGGCGTCAAAAATAACCTCCATTAAATGAAAACAAGGTAATAAAAGTGTGAATGATAACATACCGAAAAGAATAAAGAGGCTTTGGGGTGTGACTCTCTTTAGAGGACAGCAGAGCAAGGCAGCGAGGGACAGGGAAAGGGAGAGGTCAGGGGGCGAGTTGCCAATCGTCCACCACGAGGAGGCAGCCCCACAGGCGTGCAGGTTGATGGATGATGAAGTTGTCAGGATGTTAATATTCAAGGGCAGGTTGGTTTCCGGAGAGCAGGGTTTGAGGGGGAATTTTGTTTTTTTATTTATTTATGGTTTTGTTTGGTTTCAAGCAACAACAGGAAGCAGAAGTACCGTGCAGTCAGTTGGCAAAGAAATTCCGGATCAGGGCAAGAAAAAAAATTGGGAAAGGGGAAGGGGAGAAAAGAAAAAAAGTAGCAAAAAAACACAGGTCAGTAAATACATAAGAAATACGAGCGCTCCATCAGTCAAGATCTACACACATTACAAGTCACAGGTTCACCTTGCGGAACAGGCAGGAGAGCGCCCTTCCCCTAGCGGGCAAGAGCACGCGCGGCCCGCCCGGCGGCTCCGGGGCCGCCGCCTCCTGCTCGCCGCGGCAGGTGGGCCTCTGCACCAGGCTCACACAAGCACAAGGCGGAGCGAGTCTGTTAGTGGAGGGCTTCGCTCGTGTGGGGCCCAGAGGCGCCCCTGGCCGCGGCCACCTCAGGCCAGGAAGTCACAGGAGGGGCAGACAGACGACAGAACAGTCTGAAACGCTCATTAAAGCCGGTCCCATCTTTCAAGAGTTAAAGCCCGCGAGCCCTGGTCAGCTCACCCGAGCTCTCTCTGAGCCAAACGCAGCCACGGGGATGGGCACAGCTTCGCCATCCCCGGGACCGCGGCTGCAGGCCGGCACCGCTGGACAGAGGTGTCCGGCGGGCCTCTTCAGACCGTGCCTTGTTTGGCTGGAAATTGTAAGGACTGCTTTCACGTATCAAAAAACATTTCAACTCTGCATCTTACGGAATTAGAAACGTAAACCAAGGCGTAAAGGAGAACAAGAGAACTCTGCGCACTGAGGAAGGAGGCAGTGAGCATGACCCGGGGTGAGACCCCCGAGGGACCCCCGGCGCCTGGGGCTGACAGGAGCTCAGCCTGCTGCCATTTGCACTAAGACCCCAGAGTGTGACTCCCCCGCCTGTGCTTCCGGGACCAACAGCCTGGAAGGAAGAGGCACGTACCTCGGGGTTGAGGTTGCTGACCAACAGGACAGAATTTCCTGCCCCTGCCAGGCCTGGGATGGCGATTCGGCCTGCTGCCGCCGCCGCCGCTGCCGCTGACGGAATGGCCAGAGGCGCCAGGGCCCCGTGCACATTAGGAACCGAGAGGCCTGGGGAGGGAAAGGCGGTCAGGAGGTGAGCAGTAGCGCCCAGCGTTCTCTGCCAAGAGGCGAGCACAGGTCCTGCCTGTCCTCATGCAGCAACGGAAGCACGCAGGAGGTGCCCGTGGCCACTGTCGGCCGGTGCCCACCATGCAGCCTTGCCGGCTCCTCCTTCCTCTCTTCGGGACACAGGTCGCGCTGGGTTTGGACCCGTCTACATGCGCCAAACAGTACAAAAGCTCCGCTCAGTGGATGCAGAATCGAGCCCCAGGCGGGCCTCGGCCGTGCGTGCATGCAGGCGCCCATCACCATGCAGACGACAACCGGGCGGGACGCAGCAGGCCTGTGCCTGTCACAAGGGCAGGCCAGCCCCTCCCCGGGGGAGGGGGCTGCTCAGGTGTGCCCACTCGGCTCATGCCGCTCTGCTTACCAGGCCACTTAAATTCATCTACTAGGGACACATCCCTCCAACCACCGTGCGCGCTCGTCCTCGCCCGGGAGGTGCTTTAAGGGAACCAGACCAGAGACTGGGGGGTTAGCGGATTCTCTGCATGACCCTGTCCTACGACTGCCCTGTCCAGGCTCCTCGGGGAACCCAGAGACCCGCACCCAGGAAGGCGGGCTCCCCCCGAGACTGAGCCCACGTCAGCTGCCCGTGGAAGCAGAGCTACTGGAAAGGTGTGTGGGCATGCACAATCGATGGTGGGGACCAAGGTCAAGTGTTTGAGTACCTGCAGCTTGAGGAATTGCAAAGGTGGGAGGGAAACCAGCTCCTGCATACGGAGAGGCTGACATTATACCAGGTGCACCTAGAAACAAATGAGACACTAATCATCGCACCCACCACCTCCGCCGCGAGCGAGGGCTGTGTGCGTCCGCAACCCCACACCCAGTGGGCGGTCTGGGCCGTGTGCTATGCTGGCCATGTAAGGAGCAACACGCACCAACCTCCCCGGGCAGAGTCAGCGTCACGGGGCGCCTGGGGCACTGAGACTGAGCTACACATCCTCGCCTCCCACGGCACGCGGCAGTCCCGGGCACCGAGCCGGGCATCTCACCGAAGGCGGCAGCCATGGTCTGGTCCAGCGAGGGCTGGCTGTCGCCGGAGGGCAGATCAGGGCGCGTGTAGTCCCGACTCTTGTCGTTGTTGTACTTGACGTTGAGGCTGGTAAGCTTGGAGAAGTCGATACGGAGCGTGCAACAGGCGTTGTAGATGTTCTGCCCGTCCAGCGACTGTGGGGAGAGGGCGGGAAGAGGTCCTGAGTGGCTGGGGGCTGTGCGCTGGCCAGCCGGGCATCCCAGGGGCCCACTCACCAGCTTGGCGTGCTGGGCGCTCACGGGGTCAGCATACTGCAGCAGTGCCTGGAACTGGTTATTCTTGGTGAAAGTGATGATTTTCAGAACTGTGCCAAACTTGGAGAAGATCTGCGAGAGAAAGAGTGGTCAACCTCTGCCCAGTGACCCCCGTGGTCTGGACCAGGACCTGAGGCAGCTGCACGTATGCTCCCAGTTGTCTCACCTGGTGGAGCACGTCCAAAGTCACTGGGTAGAAAAGGTTCTCCACGATGATCCGCAGCACTGGGCTCTGGCCGGCCATGGCCATTCCAGCGTCCACCGCGGCAGCCGAGGCGGCCAGGGCCAGGTTTCCTGACTGCACAGAGTTCACTGCCTGCAGCGCTGCCTGGGCCCGCTGTGGGGGCAGAGGGGGAGTTAGGGCCTGAGTCCCGCGCCACAAGCTCTGTCCTCACAGACTCCACCCCTGGCCCCCGGCACGCACTGCCTGGTTGGGCGAGCTGTCTGTCTTGAGCTCCTTGTGGTTGGAAAACTGGATGTAGATGGGCTGTCCTCGCAGCACGGGCGTGACGGAAGTGTAATAGTTCACCATGGTGTTGGCGGCCTCCTCTGTGTTCATCTCGATGAAGGCCTGGCAGGGCAGGGGCATGAGCCGGGACCACACCCCCAGGGCCCTCCCGGGAAGGGGCGCTCACATGGCTGAGGTAGGTACCTGATTTTTCCCTTTCAGCATCAGGAGATTGGTGACCTTCCCAAAGGGCAGCCCCAGGGAAATGACCTCGCCCTCGGTGACGTCACCGGGGAGCTTCCGGATGTGGATCACTCTGGAGGGCACGCCTGCACTTCTGTTGTCACCCTTAAACTTTTTGCTGTCGTTCCCATTTGCTGAAGAGAGAAGTGGTTTGTAAGGTGTAGAGCACCGTCCAGGCTCCCATAAAACCAGCCGCCCCTCCCCAGAACCAGCTTCCTTCCTGACTCTGGGAGGCCACCACAAGGACAAGGCAGTCCCCAAGCCTGGTGTCCGCCCGCCTGTCTGTCTGTCTGTCCACAGGGAAGTCAGGTGAGAATGGACTGGGCTCCGGGTCACAATGGCCAGAACTGATTCACCCCAAGCGTCCTCCAAAGCAGCAGAGCACACGCAAATGTACAGGAGGAACCCCCCAGCCAGGGAACTGGGGACTGTGCTCAGGGGTTACCTGCAGAGGCCGAGCTGCCGCTCATGATAAAGGGTCCGTTAGTGACGCAGGCAGAGAAAAGCTCGTCGGATCCCCGCTGGAAGAGAGAGGGGGTGTGTGGAGCAGGGCAGGACACTGGACGGCCCCCTCCCTGCGACCCCGTGCCCACCTCCCTGCAGCAACGTGGCCTTGAGGAAAACACCACTCCCCAAACCGTGACCATTCCTCACTCACCACGGCCTCATGGTCCTAATCCCAAGACACTGCTGCTTTCCCAAGGGTGGGGGTGGGGGACCTGCCGCCTACAGGGGCTTTGCCCGTGTCACTTCCATTCCACGTTCCGCAGGACCCTTCCTGTGTTGTCGTGGACAGGGCCTCATGCCAACAGCCACAAGGAGCTGAGCCCAACCCCATTCTGTCCTAGAGAGCTCAACTGCAGCCCTGCCCATGTCAACACTAGGGGACCGTCTTTGACGACCACAGGGCCACTGGCAGGCCCAGGGAACAAAGCCCCCTTGTCACGCTGCAGCCACTCGCTCAGCCACAGGAGCCTGCCCTATTTTCCAGGCGTCTGAGGGAACCTGAGCCTGGCCCTTGTGGCTTTCAGACAGACAGAAATACTACCTCTCCACATGGGCGGTGCTGTCCAGTGAGGGGCGGGGGCCCCTGAGTGAGCCCCTAAAGGGCCCGAACAAGCCCGTTTGTGCATGGCTCCCTGTGACTTGTGGCCTGCTGCTCTCTCCCCACAAACCACCTGTTCACTCACCGGTCTCTGCGCCATTAGGACGGCTCCCCAGAACTACATCAGATGGACCCCGGGCCTAGGAAGAGGCAGCCATCCCTACCACTAGCTGAGACCTGAGGACAGAACCACGCTCTACAAGGTGAGGGGCCACATCAGACGCAAGCACTCCTCAGCCAGGGACCCCACAAGCCACAAGGACTCGGCTCCCACTGCATGCTTCTGCCCTCTGCAGTCCAGACCCCAGGACCAAGATCTGTGTCCTGGCCTCCAACACAGGGAACCAGGAGTAACTCCTCAAATGGAATCTCTGGATACAAAACTGGGAGCCAGAAAGAGTTTCAAGGCCCCAGTGCCCGGTGGCAGGAAAAGAAAACACCACCCCACCTGGCCCTCCAGCAGCCTCACCCGTTCTCCCTCAAACTGCCTTTTCCACCTGTTTATGCCTCCTCAAGGACATCTTATCTCTGCCCCTCCTCCAAACTGCCTGCTTAGCAGCCACACAGCCATCCAGTAACGCCCAGGGGCCCTCCCCTCAGCCAGTGCTGGGGTGCCCTACAACCCCTCACAACCTCTACGCCCAGCATCCAATGAGACCAGCCGAGGGAATCCCGAGAAGTTTACCAACCGCCCTCTGGGGTAAGGACCAGGAATGGCTGCCCCACACGGCTGAGATGGCTACAGTGGGCTTGTCCCCAAACCCAAACCCCAGGATAGGCCGGCACCTGCAGAAATCCCCCCAGCCCACAACTCTGTGGAGTCCACGGGCCCTAGGCTGCCACTGATGCAGAAGCAAGTGCCCACATGTCGGCACCGTGGCTCAGAAAGAGAAATGAACAGTGAGACTTGGTCCCAGGCCCAAGTCTGACACGATGAAGCAAGACATTAAAAACCAACCAGTTGCAGACTTCAAGGCTTCCAAGTAAGGCCCACACCCGAGACCCCGAGCATTTAGCACACACACCAAGGGGAGGCACGTCCAGATTCCACCTGCCTGAGCCACAGCAAAGCCCCTTCTGTCTCTGGACTCGGGCCCTGACCTGCCCCCACAGGCTCACAAAAGATCCCCCATCTGTTGGCCATGCAGCCTTAAAAAGGGCTTTCAGGCCCCAGCCTTTGACTAGCGATGGGTGGCAGCTTTCGTGGCCACCCCCCCTCCAGTGTCTCTGAGAACAACGCGCCCACTTGTCAGCTCCCACTCCCATGACACAGGCCTGAGATGCTCAAGAGCACCCTACAGCACAGGGACACCAAGGGACTCAAGGAGTGGCTGCCTGCAGGGGCACGGACATTTGCAGGGCAGAACCCTGTGCACAGCTGGGCCAGGCCAGGCACTCTTCCTAGCCGGCACTTGGGGAGGCCCCACTGGCATGTACCCGAGTCCATTCAGTATCAACAGAAAAAGAACCCTCAAGCATGTACTTGCTGCTCAGCTCAGGGCAGCTCTGCCGTCAACAGCAGTGGGGGGACCTTCTCTTCTTCCCTCGGCATCTAAGAACCTCGATGGCACTCCCTTCCTGCACAGCTAGTCCCGCTCCTCCATAGGCCACGTGCAGGTTCAGGGGGATGTGCTAGCGGGGAGCCTCAGGCCTGCAGGATAGGAGATGGTGCGCCCAGGCTTTCTGTCCATGCAGGTCTGATTCTGGAAACAAAGGTCCCCTGGAAACAGGATGGCCAAGAGGGGGCCATTCCAAGGACAGCCACTGAAGAACTGCTCCAGCTGGAGAGCCGGCTCCCACAGAAAGGGGGAGGGTTACTCGCAATCCAGACATTTTCTGTGATTGTTACAAATGCTCCAAGTCAAAATCCCTCTCCCCCTCCTGCCACCGAACAAACAGGTTTTATCTGCAGGAAGATCAGGACAAGCTGCGTGTGAAGACAAAAAACCACTTGGGAAAAGTGAAACCCAGCCCAGGCACCATGGCCGACTGACCAGAAACCATCTGGCTGCCTGCTCAGGTCACTTGAGCCACCTGCAGGGAGCTCAGGAACCACGGCCAGGGAGGGGGGACTCCCCCCCCCCCAGCCACTGCCAGGACACAGAGCAGGTAACCGGCTAACCAACAGCGCTTGCAATCAGCCCCAGGATTCCCCTGGAGGTCACATTCGCAGGCATACACAGGCCTGGTCCTCAACTAGGGGCAGAACCACCTTGGCCCCACTTCCTGTGGGGAGAGAGCACCCCCGCCAACTTCGTGCTCCGACGTTTGCCTTTCTTACTGTTCGGACACAGAAGTAACATGACTCCTACACAGAAAGGATACAGACCTCTCCTTTTCCCTTAGTTCAAAAAGGTTACGGGATGCTTAACAAAAACTATCCAAACTGTGACACCATCAAAAACAGCCCCAACTGCCTCAGAAACCTCGTGTGTCCTCCAGCCCCAGCACCCACCCCAACTGCTTGGGGGCATAACCAGATTTTGCCTCGGCCCCCACCAAACCGGGGGTGCTCAAAACCTCTGTGGGCAGACGTCCCCGTCAGCCCCATGGCACAGCCTGCTTCAATCGTGAGTGGGTAAAAGCAGGCCTCTTGCCAGCTCTCAATTTCAGGCAGGGACCTAAACTAAGGCCAAAGGTGCACTTGCTACTGAGGGGCCAGTGAGCCCACAAGGCCCGAAACGCACAGCCTGGGGTGGATCTGATGCCGCTGGGCAGAGGGAAGGGCCTGCAAATGGGACAACACTGGAGCACTGGGGGGTAGAGGCGGCGCCGGCGCTCTGCAGGACAAGCAGAAGGGCCCAGGCGGTCAGTGCAAACTCAGGCTGAGCAAGTGTAACGAGGAAGCCAAGCCAGAAGTGCCTACCTTTGTACCAACTGCTATATCTGGGACAATGCTGTGGAGAGAGAAAAAGGACAACAGTTAGCCAGGTGTGCTGCCCATCTCAGCAGGTGGGAAGGCTGGGCAGGAGAGGCCGTCCCCTGGTCCCTGTCCCAGGGGTCAAGACAGCCCACAGCCACTGCCACCAGAATGTTGGGAGGTCCCCCCATGGCCACCGGCTTGGCCTCTGGCGGCACAACATCCCCCCACCTTGAGGCCCTCTGCTAACTAGACCCCTGAAGACAGGGAAGGGAGCATCGTCCCTGTAACCTCAACTTGAAAAGGAGCCACCATTGTCTTCCAGCTCCCCTCCCTCCCAGCAGGACCCCAGGCCCCACCTCCGGAGCCGCCCCAAACAAAGACGCCCCTTCAAAAACCCCAGGAGGTACCCTTGACATTGAGGTTCAAGTATTGTGGTCTGTTTTACAAAAAGTGGAAGCACTTTGGGAACATTTTCAAACAGGAAAGGAGACCAGTGAAAGGGGGGCTCATAGGCCCTGGGGTCAGAGCTCTGGACTCAACATTGGAAGGATGGAAGGTTCCTGGGAGGTGGGGGGTAGCTCAGCTGAAGTGATCAGATAAAATTAACACAGGTTACTCATCAACCTGGCTCTGCGTGACTGGACTTTCTCCCCGCCTCAGGCGGGCTGGATGGATGGCGGGAAGAAAGCATGTCTACTGGAGGGTTCCCACAGCTCTGCACGCCTCAGCTGAGTACCTTCCAAGGGCATTGGTGTGGCACCTACAAAACGACCAGGTCCTAGCCAACTCAGGGAGCGTCGGTCCAGAAAGGGGCTTCAGTCACCCGTGTGCTGAGGCCTGGAGGCCCCGTGGACACAGCCACCGCGTTGTCACACGATGGCCCCTTGCCTGGCCAGGGAAGGCTGTCTCAGACAGGGCAGGAGGCCCTGGGACAACCACCTGCACTCCCGACCTGGACAAAGACCAGCTTCCTGCACTATTTCCCTCTTTGGTTCAGAGAGCTCCAGGTTCCTTCCCTCCCGCCATCGGGAAGCCACGCTTGCAGGACCCAAACCCTGGGATGTCGTGGCCCCAAAGCACTGCTGTGGTCCTGGGGTCCGAAGTCCTCACCTGCCCTTTCTCACCAGTTCCTGTTCTTTCACAGCAGGGCCTTTACCTCCCCGATATTGGGGGGGGAAGCCCACAGTCCGCTATCAACATATTTTTTAAAAATCTCCGAGCCAAGAAAAAGCTTCCCAGAAAACCCAAAAGAATGAAAGGCACGCAGCTCCGCGGCCGCTAACCCGGAGCGGCTCCGGCTTCCTACTCCCCAGGAGGGCCTCACACACAGGAAGTGTTTCACAGAAGACGGCCTTTCTGCAGGGAGCGTGTGAGCCTTCCACGGGCAAGGCCACCGCACCCACAGCTCCCTAGCTCGGGAGGAGCTTCTCCGGGGCGGTCCGGCCGGGCCCCCACGGAAGGCGGGCCACGAGCAGATCGTGTTCCTCCTGCTGCAACTCTTTCCCTCAAGGCCTGGATTCGATTCAGCCCGAAACCTATCATTTCAAACCCGAGGCACCGGGACACGTGACCCTCCAGGCATCCGAGCCGCCCCACCCCGCCCCGGGGGTCAGCCCAGGGGCGGAAGGAGGGCTTGCTCAAAGCTCCAGATCAGGAAAAGATAAGCAGCACCGCCTGCGGGACCCTCCAACTCTCGAAACTTCGGGACCCGCCCCTCCCCCACGGGGAAACGAGAAAGTGCCCCAGACACGCGGGACGCCAACAGCCCCGCTTAGAGCGAGTTTCGTTTTCGGCAACTTCCACCCTTTTCCACCCGGACCGAGAGCCTAACGTCCGAAGACAAAGGTGTCCACCCACACAGGCACGTCGGCCCCGACGACCCCGCACGCACAGCCGAGCCGCTGCCCCGCCGCCGGGCCAGCTCGCGCTCCGGGAACGGCCGGCCCGGAGCGCCCCCCGCGGGCGGGAACAAAGGGGGGACGGGCGGGCCCCTCCCCGGTCCCCGGGCCGGGCGCGCGGCGATCCCTCCCCTGCTCTTTTTCCCGGTGAAGGCCGTGCGGCTCCCCTCGGGGGACCCCGGGCCGGGCGCGCGGCCATCCTTTGTGGGTAGCCGGGGAGGGGCCGGGCGGCCGGCGGGGGCGGAGAAGAGCCCGCGCCCTTCCGGGCAGGAGGGCGGCGTCTCCGGGCCGCGCCCGGGCCCGCGGCGGGCGGGGGAGGCCGAGGGCAGAGTCCGAGCGGCGGGAAAGACCGCGCACGCGCAGAGCCCAAGGGGGGGGGGCGCGGAGAGCCGCGCACGCAAGCGCGGGGGCTCGACGGGGAGCGGGAAGGGCCACACAGGGCGCGCAAAGAAGGTACGGGGAGCTGGAAGGCTCACACGGAGCACGCGAAAGCTGGCGCGTGCGCGCGGGGCACGGACGGGAAGCGGGAAGGGCCGCGCGACCGCCGCGTGCGTTCGGGCCGAGGCGCGCGGAGGCCGGAAACGAGCAGGACTCGGCCCGGCCCATCCCCTCCAAGCCCGGGAGGCGCTGCCCGTTTGGCGCCCCCGGCAGCCTCCCCCGCGCCCCAGGCCCAAGGAGAGGAGGGACCCCGGAGGCGCCCGCGAACTCGGGCGGAGGCGGAGCGACGCGCGGGCCGCGGCCCCGAAGAGACCCGGGCGGCGGCGAGGGCAAAGATGGAGCGCGAGGAAGTCGTCGGGGAGCGCGGAGAGACAATACTTACCCGTCCATTGCACACAGAGGAGACCCGCAGGGGACGGAGTGGAGGCGCCGGAATAGCAGGAACCGACCCAACGGCTCCGAGTTATAGACTCACAAAATGGCGGAGACGCCCGAACACGTCCCCCGCGCGCTCTGCCCATTGGCTCCCGCCACGGAGAGGGGGCGGGGCGGGCGCCGCGGGCCCCTGCCAGCGCCTCCCAATGGCTAGAAGGCCGCTCGAGGGGTGGAGCCAAGAGGAATGGCAGGCGGCCATTGGGGAAGGCGGCCGTCCGTCAGGGCTCGAAGCGGAAACGACCCGTGGAGACGGGGGAGGGGAGAAAAGGCGGGATCATATCACGGAGCCTGAGCCAGTGGGCGAGCTGCTCTCCTGCGTGGGGCTTTGAGGGAGAAGCCATCTTGAGAGTGGGTACGTGGCGAGTCAGGCGGCGGGAAGCGTGCTTTCCACCAGGCTGCCGCCATCTTGCAAACGGGCAGGATCCGTCCACAGGCATGAGGGTAGAGGGAGGTGCGTCGCCATCTTGGAGTCGGGCAGGGAGCCTATCGGGCTCCATCTTGCTTTTGGGCACGTGGCTGAAAAGGCTGATTCCGACAGAGACCTTACTCCTAGGTTGGCATGCGGGGAGGTGGAGGCCGCTTAACCCGTCCCGGACTAGCCAGGGCTCTGTCTGCACTGCTGATCTCTGATATGGAGAGCATGATGTGGTCAGGGATCGCCCCCGACGGTCCTTTGTTCGCCCCAGAGCAGCGAAGCCCGACCGCAGCCCTCTGCCCTGGCTGCAGGGATGGGGAAACTGAGGCGCACGGAGTACAGCGGTCGGGCGGCCGCCCTGCCCACAGCGGGGACCTGAGCCCCAGGCGCGCAGAGCAGAATCCTGCTGTCCTGGGATGTCCAGGAAGGGGTGCATCTCCATCCCAGCAGCCAGGGAACATCCTAAACGTATTTCCGAGCAGAGTCGTCCAGGGTTGGGGCGACAAGGGCGGTCAGCGGGGCGGCCCGGGGTCAGAGAGGCCCGAGCTGGGAGGCCGTGCGCAGGGTGGGCTTGGCGCAGTCCCGCCCGTGAGTGGATGCGCCGGGACTGGAGGACACTGCCCTGAGGCCCCTTCGCCGCACGGCCGTGCTGAGAAAGGGGTTTCTAGTTTGGACCAGACCGGAGATAGAGGAGAAATAACCTTGGTTGCCCTAGGTGGAAGCCAAGGCTGCCTGCCTGTCAGGCCGGCTTCCTTTGGGCAGCCGGTCCCAGGGCTGGGGTCCTGGGGACAGCGGCAGCCTCAGGGCCACGCTGGGCCTGGCGCCCGTGCCACCGAGCTCCGGCAGACTGGGGCTGCGGCCCATTTCCACGGAGGCCTCCCGTCCTGTGGCCCCTGGACCTCGCTTGCTTGCGCTGAAGGCCATCTGTAGCCCCAGGACCGCTAATCAGGAATGTTCCGGTGGATTTAGGAGAATCTCTGACACATTCCCGTGGATTTGCTCCCTCCAGGACTCCCGCTTGAGCTGTGCTTTGGGCACCACCAGGGCCAGCAGCTCATCTTCCTTCTGGGGGGACCGGTGCCAGGGGTGCCCTCCCAGAGCAGCGGAGAGGGAGGGGGACATGGGAGTGTCCCAGCCCAGGGGGAGAAGAGTGCCCCTGACGCCGGCGGAGTGTGTAGACTATCAGAATGGTGTTAAAACCCACTCCCCATCACAGCCCTCCCAGGGTCCTGGCCCACCTTGCAGCCCGGCAGGCCCCACACCACTGGCCACCTGCCTGGTCCTGACCTAATTTACACAGGCCTCCTGTGTGTGGCTGACCCTTTTGGAGACTCTTCCCTAAAATACACTACTCCCTCTTTCACGCCCCTGTCCCAGGGCCTTTCCCAAGGCCCCTCATCAGAACACCTGGGTGGCTCAGTCGATGAAGCATCTGCCTTCGGCTCAGGTCATGACCGTGGGGTCCTGGGATGGAGCCCCACATCGAGCTCCTAGCTCGGCGGGAAGCCTGCCCCTCTTCCTGTTCCTGTTTTCTCTCTCTCTCAAATGAATAATAAATCTTAAAAAAAAAAAAAGAAAAAGGAAAAGAAAAGAACAGCCTCTCCTGATGTGCCCCTGTGAGATGGTTGAGGGTAACACCTCTCATTTCCACAATGCACGGAAGCTCCTCGGCATCAATTCAAATGCAGGGCAGTGTTAGGTAGAAAATGTTGGCAAGGAGGCCAAGAGGCCCCAAAGGGAGGTGTCTGAGGCTGAGATGCGGTCCCCTGTGTCTCAGGCCGGCCCCTGAGTCTTGCTAGATGCTGGTACCCTGAGGTGAAGGGGACAAGGCCAGGGGCTCTGATGAGAAGCCACACTGATTCCCACGGTTAGAAGATCCGCAGGCTGGGAGGCATACAACACAGATGTATTCTCCTGACTCTAGAGGCCCCAGCGTGTACGGATCAGATGGACGCCCCTGACTCCAGTAAGAGCCGGCCTGGCCTTCTCTTTCTCCCACCCCAGCCTTGCCCACCAGCTGCTTCCCTCATTAATGATTTAGGGATGATTGAGGACCTGTGAGCACCTTTTATTCATTTGCGAATTTTGAAAAGGATCCTCTTTGTGGCAGGAGCGGAGGGAGGGAGGAGCCAGACTGGGGTGGAGAGGGCCGGCATCCCAGGGGACCCGCTGGGGCCCCATTCCTCTCTTCAGATCAGATGGGGAGGGTGGTACAGTGCCTCAGTTTACTCCTTTGTCAAAAGAGGCAGGACCAGGCTAGTCCTCCCTTGCCTCCTTGTGGGCTTTCCCCTGTGTTTCAAATGGAAATGGTTAATAGTTTCAGAATATTTATTCATGTATTTGTTTATCCATGCCTGGATTATAAAAGCAGTTGGGTGGGGGGCAGGGAAGGGGTCCAGGGAGTGGGCTTGGGGAAGTCACCACATCTGCGTCCCAGCTTCTCTGAGCCATTCTGCAGACTTCTGTTCGAGCAGGGGCTGGGGGAACCAAACAGGCTGCCCCCAGCCCCTCCAAGCTGGAGCCCCACCCCTGCCCCAGCTGGGTGGCCTGGATCCTGGCCTGGACCACAGGGAGCTGGGAGGCAAAACCAAAATGGCTTACTCTGGCCTGATGATACATCAGAGCATGCCTCCTGCCCTGGGGTGGGGGCCATGCTCCCCAGTCCCAAGACTTCTAGCCCATCCTCCTCTTCAGTTAGGGTAGGAGCCTCAGGCTTCTCCCCCCCCCCCGCCCCCGCCAGGCCCTGCCCAGCCACCAGCCCCTAGGGGAACCCCTGTCCCTTCAAGGTCCTTCCTGTGAATTGTCATGGTCACCTCTCAAGGGCCTTCTCATCCCGGATCCCCCATCCCAGATGCCGCCACTTCCCTCCGCAAACCCAGAAACCCTCCCTCTCTCCAGGGCCTGTCCTGAGCTGGAGCTGTCTCTTCACCCCAGACAGCCTGACCACGTACCTCTCTGTGTGCTTTCCTGTCGTAACTGTTTAATCCTCAGCTAGGAAATACTTTCATTTCCTTTCCCCAAATACAGTGAGGTTGAGTGAGCCACCGAAGCCTCCCAGCCTATACGAGGCCCCACCCGGCTGGACCCAGGCGGCTACACCTTGGCTGGGGGCGCTGCAGAGGGGTGAACAGTCTGGTCAGTCCTCCGAGGGGTCAGCCTAGAGTTACCACCTGACCCAGCAACTCCGCTTCTAGCAAACACTCGCCCTCAGCTGCAGGACTCAGCCAAAAAGTGGAGGAACCCCGTGTCCACCGGCAGGTAAATGGATACCCAACGCGTCTACCACACGGGTACATCCCTCGGCCACGGACAGGAGCGAGGCACCCACATGCACTGCCCCAGGGACGGACCCCGAGCCCACGACGCTCAGGGAGGGAACCAGACACAGAAGGCCACACGGGGTGTGAGCCCACGTGGGTGACACGTCCAGAACAGGCTCATCCGCGGACGGGTAGGGGGCTCCTGGGGGCCGGGGCTGGGGGGTGACGGCTGATGGCCAGAATTTCTTTCCTGGTGTTGAAATACATATTCTCAGATTGACTGTAGTGGTGGTTGCACAACTCTGAATACACTAAAAACCACTGGACTGTAGACTTTGAAAGGGTGAGTAGTAAGGGTGTTATTATGTCTAATAAAGCTGCTTCTGGGAACTCCTTCCTATGAAGCTGGGGATGCCCTCCACTGGTGAGGACAGGGTGGGTAGAGCTGCAACCGTTGGCGGAGGGGGCAACGGGGCAACCGCTTTGGAGCATGGGTCGGCGGTTTCTTACAGAGTCACCTGCATACTTTCCCGGAAGCGCAGGCCATCCAGCTCCTGTGTGTTTACCCAAGAGAAATGTGTAGAAACAGGTAACAAAAGCTTTGACAAGAATCTCCCTAGCAGCTCTTCATAAATAACAGTGTCGCGCCAGAAAGAACCACGGCGCTCAGCAAGCCGGATCAGAGACCGCTGGTGGTGGCCCACATGGCCTAGAGCGAGGAAAGCTCATGGCGGACCCAGAGCCAACCCCCAGCGGCAGATCGCCTCTCACAGGCCCTGGGCCGCCCACGCACTCCGCATCTGGGGACAAGGCTTGGTGATGGGGACGCTTTGCCGTGTGTAAGTTAGAGCTCGGTAAAATTCAACCGAGAAAATACCGTTGATTCTCATTCTTCCGCAAAGTCCTCACGGACACTGGACTGTGGAGCCTGGAAACGGCGCTCTGCAGGAGAGGCGGGGAACCCCTGGCCACAGCATTGCCCCTGCCCGTCGTCCCATGTGCTTCTGTTGAGAGACACCTGACGTGGCGCATAGTACCAATTCACTAACGCCAAAGTCACGGGCCACAGCACCACGGAACAAAGCACATCCAACATGCGCATTTTCTCCAAAAGGCACATCATGGCCTTCTTGAGGCTAGGAACCCTTGGGGGCCGATTTAAAGCACAATCACCACCAAAAACCACAAACATGCAAAACACATGCACTAAATAAGCCTCAGAAAGGGTCCTTCTTGGGGCGCCTGGGTGGCTTAGTTGGTGAAGCGACTGCCTTCGGCTCGGGTCATGATCCCGGGGTCCTGGGATTGAGCCCCACTTCGGGCCCCCTGCTCGGCGGGGAGTCTGCTTCTCCCTCTCCCTCTGCCCCTGCTTGTGTTCCCTCTC